GTTTTGCATTCATCTCGGAAATTAAAAGAAAAATTGCCTCGGCGTTTTGTGTTTCGCCCCGTCCGCAAGCGCTGCGGTAAATTTATCATCTCTCGCGCACTCTCCGCAGATTATTGGACGGACAGACGAAATTTTCCCTCGTGCACACTGCCCGGCTCAGAGCCAATCCGCCCAATCGGCCATTATTTCTAATCAGCGGAGAAAATTACACGTCTGCGCCGGATATATGCCTTGTGCAGGTCAAATTTGGGCTTGGCTTTTTTTAGGTCCGTGCAAGAGAAAAGAAAATGAAAGCTCAACACAACTTTGGGCAATGAGTCTATAGGGTTTATAATAATTATTGTAACTTAACAATTAAAACTGCGTTTTATTTAAATTATCTTAATTTTTTTTTCCTTCTACAAAACTCTCGGCAAAATCATGACAATTGATTAATTTTAAAGCAAATAGAGGAGTGCTATTTAAACGGTTATGCCTCCTTTAATGGAATATTCACTATTGCTTAATTCAGCTTAATTTTTATCAAATCTGCACGCTCGTTGTCATTGAATATAAATTTAAGATTGACGCCATCTAAACAGAAAAGCAACGAAGTCACAAAAAGTAATAAAAAAAATCAGTAAGACTGTATAAGTAATTATATGTGGATCATAATTGCCCTGCTGAAATTAAAACGTGCAAAAAAAATTTACTTTTCTTTTATACCGCGCGTAGTGATGAATCCTCACGAGTTTTATTATTGTTGCTTATTATATATGCGTAGATTTTTTTCTGTAACTAGCTTTTTTGGTTTTTCACCTCAACATAAGGAAAATGAGTCGATACATTTTGCAGAATTACAATAACCTCAATTTAACAAAGAATTTTTGTGATAAATAATGGATATTACAAAATTTTCTATATTAGAATATTTTACTCTTAAAATAAAATAACGAATAATGAAGTATTTGGCTCGATTAGTGTAAAAAAATCTAACCAATCACAAAAACAAGAAGGAATTGCGTGACTTTAAAAGTGTCTTTAAATACAATTATTTATTACTCAGCGGCGGATATTTTACCGTTTATAAATCTTCATGATTTTCCCAATCCTGTTTTGATAATCCGTACAGAGCCTTTACTACATCAAGAAAAACGTAATAAAATCTTGTGTGTTTGGACTACACAAACAGTAAAAAGAATTAAGCTTAATTAATAAGTACTAAAATTTTACACAGCAATACTGACCTATATTAAGTCTGCTTTTCCTAATTTATTTTCCCAATCCTACTGATATCCTCTGGAATGATCAATTTGAAAACATGCAACCATGAAAATGTTATTTCTCCAAACATTTACAGTTACTTCGAACGAAAAGGGAAAAGTGTCAAAAGAGAGAAAAATCGATCTTTCAAAAAGTCTCAACAGAATAATAGAAGTCCCATTCCTTTTTGAAGGTATAAATGGGATGCACCTGCTTGCGATATTATTCAATTTCCATTTTGATAGAGGAGGCGCATAAATTGATATTCTGGGAGTGAATTAGTTGGATGAGGGTGTGGAGATTAAGGGCTGTGCAGGCTGTGGATGCCGCCGCAAGTTCTTATATTCGAAATCCCTCTCTCTTCTTCTTTTCTCAACGCGCGCGGCTGTCACTCGGCATGGATTCCTTTCGGTTGAGAAGGAAAAAGAGATGCCTGGCATGCTCTGCTGGACCTGTGAAGCTGCAGAGATTCTCTCATTCGTCCCACCCTCCTTCATCCCCTAACTACCCCCTGCTGCAGCCGTGAAAATGGCGAGAGCCACCCTGCCGCTCGACAGAACCCCAGCAGCATCAAACCAACTCGCTTATGCTTTCAATTTGAGTCGCGCTCTGAATTTTAAAAAAACTTCATGCCGCTTCACGAAGCAGTCAAGCGAAAGGAAAAATTCGTTACTTCGAGGGTTGCAATGGAGGGAGTGGAAATCAAAGATAAAAGCTGCCCAGTACTAAAGTGTATATTTTGTAATTTAAATAGAATTCATAGTATGTTTTCTGTAATTTATAGTTACAGAGAATTGAATTCTGATTAAAATAACTAATTATTAACCAGTTAAATAACAAATAAATTAATATTATTTTGAAATGTTTATTAAAAACCCCAATTTTATTTGCAATTTATAGTCTCAAATTGCATTAATTATATTTAAAAATAAGCTTCCAGTTATTTTTAAAGCTATACGGATTCAATTCAAATATTTTTTATCCATTTAAAAATCATTTGAAACATTGAAATCTACAAATCTGATTTCAAACAAGCAATTTTCGAATAATTGTAAAATTTTCGGCAAACGTTCAGTAATTTTGATTGATTTTTAAAACTTCTGGTTTTACCTTTTTATTAATTTTACTTTTTACCAGTGGGTGTTGCCCGGTAGATGCCTTTCAGAAAAGACCAAACAGTTTTTTTTTCTTTGTCGAGCTTTTGTAAATCTTCATCTTTTCGGCGGGGAGCAGAAAGAGGATAAGCTAAAAAAGGCTTTTCCCGAAAGCCAACTGGTGAAAAAGGAGCAGTGTAGACTTACTTACTCACAAGTCGGCTTGCATGATACATAATATTTTTTCTGGTCATGGCCGCATGCAAGAACAAAAAGCATGACTTTGCATTTCGAGCAGAACTCTTCGAAGGCGAGAAAGAATGCGCTCTTTTATATATTTATTACACGCTGGGCCCATCTCTGCGCGCGGCTCGCTTGTATTATTTACACTTTTACACAGCCGGCCATCTCCTAATTCTTTTTTCACAACTGCTCTACGCCTTTTGATGGTCCCAAAATTAATTTACATGCGCGCACAAAACTGCTCCTATATGTTTGATAGAAAGCGGAGGTGTTGAATATCCGTGGCGATGATAAAACTCTGGCCCGTTACAAACAGAGTAATTAATCAAATTCAGAGCTGCATAGCCGGAAATGTAAAAAAGAAGCTCCCATTCAGCTCAGAGAAGCAAAATTAATTTACAAATTAACAATTCATCAGCTCAGAAACCATGCATAATTAAGTCAAATTAATTCCTTTATCTCTCTGTGGACTAATTATAAGATAAAAAGGTCAAGTGTTGATGGAGAACGAAAAAATCTTGTTTGTCGTACTATGAAACATTCACAGTTTATTTTTTTTCTTTTTGGATCTTACACAAATCAAATCTCTCATTTCAGCAATTTAAATATTTTTATACTTTTACCTCAATAATGCGTGCATATTTATTTTCGTATTCATTTTTTATATTTACACATTTTCTCTCTCTTTCAGTACAGCAATTTTTATGTATAATTATTTACAAGCACTTGGTACACAATTGTTCATTGTTTGATGCGCGATACATAATCAAATAGGTCGGTCATTTTCCCTTTATATACAATTTTCATCAATCTCTCTGGCAGAAAAATCATCGTCCCAATTCGATCAAGCTCAAAGTGAAATTAAAAAAGACTTTATGCATTTTTATAAAAGACTTTGGTGAAGGGGGAGAGCGAATTAAAGATTGTGTTAATAGACTGAGATCATCATAATATAATGTGTAATACAATCAATCATACATTAATAAATAATTAGAAAAATCAACAGCTTGTGTGATTTGTGTACAGGTGAAGCTTAATATTGATGGTAATTATTATACGCGTGCATAAAAACAATGGAAATAATATATAATCAATATCCAACATTTAGTACTTTGATTTGTGCTTCCAGTTTGATTGTATGTATCCCAATTAATATCTCTCAAAGCATCAACAAATAATTATCATAACAAAATCGAAAACATTTAAAAATGAAGTACATATATTTTTGTGGATTATTAATTGAAACAAACAAAAATCGTTGGGATAAATTAATCAACTTTTGTGCTACGGTGTTGAGAGAAATATAAAATCACTTGATGGTCAAGCAGGACTCGAGTTTCCACACATTTGTTTATACTTTACACATTGAGCATTGCTTTTATTAATATCAGAAAGTATAATTATTTCAAGTCCTTTTCTTCTATCAAGACCAAGCCCTTCTCAAGAATGTGCGAAACTATGAGGCGGACCAAGATTCAAAATTCGAATTATAAAAAAGCCTATTATTGCGATAAAAAAAAATAAAGGCTAGGTGATCGTTGGTGAAAAATGATGGTTATAGCGATTGGCCAACGAGGCTCCTTTGATAAATTACTCGCATACGGAGCCAGCGAGGCGGCGGATTTTCCAATAAAAATGTAAATTACCTGCCGAGCCCAATATTATAGGAAGATAATTACGCGCGCATATACGACGATTATTTTTATTATTAATATATTTTATTTGACGCCTGCCGTTGGTGAGATGCAAGAGTATATGAAAATGCATCAATCTCTCCGCGCCAAGAGAGGAGCAACAAAAAGAATAAAGTGCGCGTCAATCATCTTTCACTCACCCAATATATCTCTTTTTTGTAATACTCGTCAAGAGAGACGCGTTGGCCAATTCTCATTTGAAAAGCTCTTCCTGGATTAGAAGGGTTTTTTTTTATTTCTAATAAAAAAAATTTATGATTATTTAATCATTACGAGGAAAAACATAAAATTCAGGATGTCAATTTTGAAAACTTTATCTACCCAGCTTTGTTTTGAACGTGTGTATAATTTTAATTGTTTTGTTGTTATTCTCATCGATTAATTAGCTGCGCAATGGTGCGGGTAATTAAACGAAGAGAGGCGCGATTTGCTTTGGTAAACAGGAGGAATGCAATTGATTAACTCATCTCCTTAAGAGCTTCGTAGTGCCGAGTATAATTACTCCAAGAGACTGAAAAGGGGCTATTCATTTTCCGAAACACATGACTTTGAAATTCTTTGGAAATAATTGTTTACTTTCGAATTTTAACAGACTAGTGAAAATAAGTTTTTATTATAATATTTGAGAAAAGAATTTGTAAAGGGCCTTCTTTGAAAGATTGATATGAAGGTAAAAAATCTTATAGGAGATTATTTTGATTTGAAAAAAAATCATATAACTCGTTAAAGACGACTTTTTACCTTCGTTTTTTTTAAAAAAAATTAAACTGAAACTAAAATTTGAGCGTTCGTATGAAAATACATATTTAAGCAGAGTCTAAAATGTAAAAAAATAAATTTCTTTTCAAATTATACTCTGCTATATCAGCGAAAAGAACAAAAAAAACTCTTAAATCAATCAAAATCTAATAAGGCAGGCGTGAAAATTAAGTTGTCGTCTCACTGCACTTTTTGTCTTGTGAATTTCCTTGTTTTTGTCAAAAAGAGTTCAACGCGTGTGACTTTCGGACGAAGTTGATTCGATTCAGCGATCTTAACAGAAACAAAAATTATACGCTTTCAACATTTTTTACCAAATTTATGATAAAAGGAGGCAAAGATTTATCACTTTATGGTAAACAAGCTGTGAAAAATAATTTGTTTTGGTTCGAGGTGGCAAACGCATTATTTTTTATTTTGTGAATTTGATATAACCGATGGCGCTCGGCGGGGATGAGGAAGCATTATTTTTCAAGTCTGCTGTGTTTTGGGGTGGCATTTCTTGGCGGTGGGTCTCTGGTATATTTTACACAAAATCCCAGCCGAGGCAATGTTGTTTTGATTGTAGCGCGCGCGGCGAAACCACCTCGGCGCGGAATGATAGAACGGCGGCCATTATCTCTTGGCCAGAGACTAATGTCTGCACATTAATCAGACATACCCGCTACGTGTTCGCCCCATTGTCGCCCTAAATGGACTGTTTGCAGCCAGGGCACATGACCTCACTCGCCACATAATAGCTCAAGGACGCGCGCGCTCTTGTAAAATCAGCCCCGGTTTTGAATAAAAGAGCTAAAGCTGCAACCACCGCGGCTAATAAGAAACGAATCGCCAAACAAAACAGTTCAAGTTGAAATGGAAAAAAAATGTTTACTTATTTCCTTCAAAAACTAATTCAATAAATTTTGTTATGTTTGAAAAAAAATTGTGCTTGTAGAATTTTCAGCATACATCGCGCAGAAGCTTTCATCCATTATTGAAATAATTAGTTTATCAAAAACATCAAGTGATTTCATGATCATGAATATTAAAGCACAAAATTGGAATAAATAAATGGGGACTTTTTTAACTCAAAATTTAAAATATTAATATTACTTAATTGTTTTCTTTATGGACCCAGAAAATACGTCTTTGATATATAAAAATTGTCTATTGAATTTACTATAAAAAAAACAACACAAATATTTGCAAAAACAGATTTTTAGCTCAATTAATTCGAATTACTTGTACAAAGAATGGATCCCATCATTCTTATTGCTTAGTAAAATATATTTGGATTAAATTATTTTGTAAACCTGATTGTTCCTATCCCTTTTGGCTGGCTTTTCAGAAGAATATTTTTTTTTATCATTTTCACCAACATCCTTCATGGATAAAATCAAACTTTGAAAATTTCGATTGATCACTTCTTTGAGAAGTATTATTATTGCTCAACTTTTTTAAATTAGCCCTCTTAAAAATATTTTTTGACTTCTAAACTTCGGGCTTAAATTTTTTATATAAAAAAAAACGTTTGAATCTTGGCCGCGAGAAGTTTGCACCAATCAGAGGGGCAGAATTCGCACTTTCACAACAAGGAAACGAGAAAAAACCACCTGCGCACGCGCACCAGTCAGCGTCCGCGCACCTACCTGGACGCTAGTCAGGGTCCAGTCCCGCAGATGGCACTGCACTCACAAGGCCGTGAGGCCGTAGTCCGGCTTGAGCGGGGGCGGCTGGAGGTGGCAGGACTGCGGCGTCAGGGGTGCCACCTGCTGCCCGATCGCCACCGGCGACATGTTGTGGAGAGGGGGTGTTGAATCAGGGTTCATGGCGCCCAATTGTGACAGGGGGTCGTTCAGGTTGCTGCTGCCGTCGACGTTGTTGTTGCTGCGGCCGCGTTTGGCGCGCGACTTGGGCGCCGTCGGCTGCCCGTTGGCGTTTTTCCGACGCACGTTCTTCGTGTTGGGCAGCTTGTTGTCCTTCTTCCACTTCATGCGCCGGTTTTGGAACCAGATTTTTATCTGACGCTCAGACAGACACAGCGAGTGCGCGATTTCGATGCGTCGCCGTCGCGTCAGGTAACGGTTGAAGTGGAACTCCTTCTCCAACTCGAGGATTTGGTGGCGCGTGTACGCCGTCCGCTGCCGCTTCGGCTCCATGCCTGGTTGGAATTGACCAGGAGCTGCAACAAAATGACCAGAGGACATTTTTAAAAGTGCCTAAAAATAATTAAAAATATAACTAAAAATCTCAGTTAAACAAAAAAATATATATTATTTAATCACAAAGAAATTATTTTAACTTTGAACTATTTCCAATAATTAATGAGCAAACTCTAATGCTTCTTTTTAATATATAGGACAAGCTTTATTTTTTAATAAAAGACTTTTACATATAAATGTCTTGGATATCTCTAAAAAATTAACTTCATAAAATTAGAAAAACTGCAAATTCTAGAGTCATTATAAATTTTTTTTATCATAACCTATATTGACGGGGTGATATTAAAACTTTCATTCTGGAAGCCAATCTTTGCACTGACTTTCATGTGAATTTCTGTGATTTTGGAAGCAATTTAAAAATTTAATTTATCTGCCAATTTTGGTCAGTATAAAAAACTTAAAAAAAATGCAAATATCGTCAATGATCTGAGCCACTTAACAAGGAATTTAAAAAAGCTATCAGATGCCCTGTAATAATTTTATAATTAGAAAAATATATTTGGAATTCTCTGATTGTGAGACTGCCTTAAATTATTTAAAAACTTCTGGCCCATGGTTCTGGACCTCGGGTTTTAGGAATGCTGTTAAGTCGTGGGCAGAAAATACATTTTTTCTTAAGAGCGCGTTTGTTATATACGTTCAGAAGCGTCTCATTAGATATTTTTCATTTGGCTGAGACAGATAAGGGCCTTAGGAATGCGTCTACGGCAGTGACAGCACGTCGGACAAGGAATCTCCTCCTCAATAAAAGTGACACTGGCAAGACGGCCCGTCATTTTAAAGTCTTAAATTTTGTTACGAATAAAAAAATAGCCTAACTGGAACTCTGTTTATTTCTGTTTTTAATTAAATCTGTTTGATTTTACAAATTAGTTTTTGTGCATTAACATGTAAATAGGCGAGCTTACTTTAATTTAACGTTTATAAAAAGGAACAAAAAATTCAATTTTTTAAAAAAAAGAATATCGACTTTCTTAAAATGCAAAAGGAGGAGGATAAATAATGTAACATATTAAAATTTTTACTCCTTTAATTGTTTACCACATTATTATAGTTAATTTCATATTTATAAATTACATAATACTTAAAAATATTTTTATATAACAAAGTTAAAATTATTTATTTTATTTAAATATTTTTATTACATTTATTTGATATCAGCTTTATTATTTTAAATATCTTGCTCTGTTTAAAATATCATTTGTAATGTAAATTTCTATTTATAATAATAAATTCTGTTGCTACACTTTTTTAATATCTTTTAAAGGATACTAATATGGAAAATGACTGTATTTTCAGTATCGTGTTGCCTGTATCGAAATAATTTCTTATATATATAATATTCCATTTCAAGCATTTTGATATAATATAATAATAAACTTGCCAAGTAACGCGATAAGCCTTAATACAGTCCTTATATCAAAACCACGGAACCAGGAAAGTGCCGACTGGCAGCGAGGAGAGCCGCTTGTTGCCGCCATTGGCACCTGCCGTGGCTCGGTAATAAATCTTCCCGCGAGTCCATTTTACATCTCAAATTTATTTATTTTATTTCCAGAAACAAAATAGGTTATTATTAATTTTGCAATAGAATAAAAAAATTAATAAATTTCTCATTTGAGAATGCCAATATTCTAAACATCTGCTAAAAATATTTACTTAAAAAGGTCTGGTCACTTTCCAGTTTCACTTTCGTCTTTTGCCTAAAAGGATTAAATGCACCCGTGCAGAAAAGGGTACCTCTGTGAACTCAAAGAATCGCATTTTCCCAGCCTGTCTTCTGTGCACTGACAAAATTGACATGTTAAAACTCAGTCAAACGGACAATACTCGTCTCACTCAAGAGAACAGACACAAAAACAAACAAAGGGCCTCACTTTCTTGACCCGCGGGAAAATGATTTACAGCCCCCAATTTCTCAACCCAAATATTTCCTCGCGTGTTTATTTAGCTTGGCAACAGTTAAAGCAACGTTTCTGGCCAACAATCGGTGAAATGACCTGCGGTCTGACAGATTTATGAGAGGCTCATTTCCATTATTGCCGCCGCGTTTCTTACGGTTTTTGACAATACGTCGCGGTTTTTCCCACACATTTCTATGAACCCCACTTTGTCAACAGCCAAAAACGGAAACAAAACGAAAAAGCAGTCGAGTGCCGTATCAGCGCCGCACGCAACCGCGGGACAAATTGAATTTTCAGAGACTTTGTGTGTTGGTGACATTCACGCGCGTGAGATTCGAGGGCTCGATAAAACTTTGTTGCCTGAATATTGTGCGCGGTGCTGCTGGCATTGGACCCACAGCACAAATATAAATTACCCTCAATTATTTTGGTGGCAAAGCAGCGCCTTTCCACGGCTACTTGCCGGTCCTAATGGGACAGTGATTAAATAAATTGACGTTGTCACCGTGATGAGTTAGTGCGAGGGCTTATGGGTGTTATCGCACTGACCTCGACAACGGCATACGAATTTGTGAATCATACACGCGGGCAATTAAATTATCACTTCAGCGCTCTAGTATTATAAAATTAACACATTGTTTAGGTGATTAATCAATTTGTAAAAATTATAATTACATAATATACTTTGCAATTTTTAAATGATTAAAATTTATACATTCTCCAGAATTGGTGGCTCTTTTGGAATTATATATTTTCATGATTTTGAGACAGGCAGATTTAAAAACAAAATTATTTTTAAATTTTTTCATTTTCACGACAGATTAAATAAAATTCTTTCAGATATATATCACTGTAATTATTTGTGAAGATAATAATTTTCATCTTTTCTTATTGTTTATATTTTTCTCTGACAATTATTTTGAGCTAGGTTAATTTTTTAACTAAAATTTTAGTTCAAAAAGGATTATCACTTACCGATGATGCTAAAATGGCCTTTTCATTTTTAAACAGTATCAGAAACAACATCAATTGTATCAAATTTTTTGCGGATAAATAATTGCAGAATCGGTTAGGATCTTGACAAATTTTCAGTATTATAATTATTATATTTTTTCAATTCTTTAACTCCATTGAGCCAATTTATAATAATTAATTGAATTTTTTAAATAAAAATTATCCATTTTATTTAAATATAATAATGCCAAGTAATAAATAAAATAAAAATGACCGCAACAGCCTGATAAAAATAATGTCTATATTTTTTTGCGCTTGATAAATTAATAATTTGAATTTTAATTATTATAAAAATCAATTATAATATTATTAAGACAAAAAAAAACGTTAATCCAGCCACCAAAATCCCAGAGGCATAATAAATTTTCTCACTTGGAGGCTTACCAACTCCGGCCACGTGGATCTTCTTCATCCACGGGTAGATGACCCTGTCTGAGGTCTCGTCCGACTCATCGTCGTCGTCGTCATCCAGTTCTGGGCACGAATCGTCGCCGATGTAGTCGCCAAGGTTCGAATGCTGGTCAGCGGTGGTGCTCGGACTCTCGGCCGGCGATGCGTGTTGGGCGACGTGCGGACTGACGTCGCCGGCTCCGACGACGGCCGCCGGCAGATGCGGCGGCGCCGGGGCCGCCGGGGGCTGCACGTGGTACAAATGTTGCTGGTGGTGCACAGGGTAGTAGCCCTGGTGGTGGTACTGGTGGTGATACTGGGCTGGCGCCGCAGGCGCCGGTGGCGGCGCCGCCGCGCCGTAGTATTGCGGCTGCTGGGGAAAGTAGTCGGCGGCCGCCGCCGGGGGCATGTACTGGCCGTAGTCGGCCTCCGGCGGCGGGAACTTGGGGTCCACCCCCGGGTACGAGTTCATGAGGAACGAGCTCATCGCACTTGCATCCTGCGGCTGCCGCGTCCGCACAGTCACTTGACGACTTGTCGCGGCCACCGCGTGCTCGCGGCGGGCAGGCGGTGCCGCGCCATGGCGGCCCCCCTATGCTCATTGGCCCGCCCGCCGCCGGGGCGGGGCCTTGCTCAGGTGCCCAACAGGTCGGGACGTGCACGAACAACACGCAAACACGTTAGCTCGCGATCTGCCTGCACGACTAGGTAATGTAATTTTTATTTTTGCCTATTTTTCTGTTTTTGTACAAAATTAAATTTTGCATAACGCGCCACGGAGACCCAAATTTAGGATTAAATTAATTAATTTCTTTAAAGAGATCAAATGCTTATAAAAAATTCCAGAATTTGGTTTATTTTTCCATATGAAAAAGTTGGAATTTGAAGTGTTTGGAAGTTACTCTCTAAGTAATTTTTTTATTCAGAATGGGATAATAGTTGCCTTGCAATTAGATGATATGTCTTAATTCTTAATAATGTTAAAATCAACTTAGTGAAAAATCTCTTTTTTTAGCATGTTTCGAGTTGATGATAGCAAATTTTTATTCTAATCACACAAAGATGGGTATTTCTTTAGTATTTGTTTGAAGAAGTTGACACTCGAGGAGATGATCATGGAAATGAAGCGATCGGGCTTTTCCTCGTTGCAGAAAAATTGTTTTTATTCAAAAACAAATGGCTCTACCAGTTTCGGTCACGGTCTGCGACCCTATTTCATGAGCAAGAAAAAATACAAAAAATCAGCAAATTGAAAAAACACCACATTTTAAATAAAAAATTAAATTCTTAAAAACTAACTTAAAAACTAACGAAAAACTAACTAAAAGAATTTTTTATTTAAAATGTGGTGTTTTTTCAATTTGCTGATTTTTTGTATTTTTTCTTGCTCATGAAATAGGGTCGCAGACCGTGACCGAAACTGGTAGAGCCATTTGTTTTTGAATAAAAACAATTTTTCTGCAACGAGGAAAAGCTCGATCGCTTCATTTCCATTTCTTTAGTATTTCATATTTTAAAAGGTATGCAACACGCGCTTTTACTGTGTCATGCAGGGTGCCTATTACATAATTATCTTTTTCATCAATTTAATACTGATTGACTGACGAGAGTAATCTGAATTAAGAGTGACTGAGTTTGCGATTTTCTGAAAAGAGAATAAGTACAGAGGTTTATAAATTTTTGACTCTTGTGCAAGGTGGTCCATTTGATTTATCTTTTCTGAGAAGTAGACTTGAATTATTATGTATACGGAAATTCTGAGATTTTAAATCTCGTTTTTATTTATATTTTGCCATTTCTTGGTTTTTAATACAATTATTTTACAATTATCAATTAATTTTGTTAGGAGTATAATATCAATTTCAAAGTTATTTCGACTTTTAACTTTTTCACTTCGCTCTTTGCATATTTTATTACTATTTGTTTAATGAAATTGACATCAATTAAGGAGATGATCGCATGGAATAGTGACGAACTCGGAAAAAAGCTGGGAGTTCTTCACTCCCATCATTATTATTGTTGTTGTTTACTTCATATTTTATCTTATTTGGAAAATTTAAATATAGTTTTAAATCAGTCCGTTGACCCTTCGTATTATACAAACGAATAATAATTCTTTTCTCTGATAAATAACGCCGTCGCCGCGATCTCGATCGTCCCCATTGTGGTGCGCGGATTAAGTCGTTTTTGATGGCGACAGCATCCCATGGGCTGTAAAACAAATGGGCTGGGATCTCTCTCAGGGTGACACATTTATTCGTGTGTCTGGCTGGTGCTCTGCGGCGACGCTGATACATGTATGAGAGAGGCGCACACCTCCAGACGCTGCAGAGTGTGAGCGCGAGTGATTTACGGCGCCCTTTATAAACTCCTTACTCTCTTTATCCTGCGGGGGGAGCAGTTCATTTGGCTTAATGTGGAACAGATGAGCTTTGCACCTTGTTTCACGTCTTCATTTGAATAATGCTCAGATTTGTAAAACGCCGGGGTATGTAGATTTGCGTGCAGCTCCAAGGCAAATTGAATGTAAATATGGATGAAAAAAAAGTACAGCTTATAATTATACGCTCAGAATTTAAATGAACCATTACTCTTGTTTGTTCATAAAGATTGAAGACAATTTAATTTGCATTAAATGTTTGCTGATGATGTTAAAGTTTTTTTTATGATTTTAATAATTAAGAGTAAACAGAAGAATCTATAAATTTAGAAAAAAAAGAATTTAAAATTAATAAATCATGCTGAAATGTTACACCGTAAAAAAAATGAAGACCGCGCCAAATGAATTGACAAATTTTTCACTTTGGAATGTGCAAATTTAAGTTAATAATATTCCTGCCAAATTCAAGTCCCAGAAGAAACAAAACTTTTTATAAAAGTTAAATTTGAAGCTGGTGCATGACAAAAGGTATTAATTTAAGCATAAGTATCTCCATTTCACTTAAATTTTAAAGCTTTGTTTATATAAATAAATTATTTTATAATACCTTTTTTTATTGATTTTATATAAAAAAAAATTGATTTGTTCTGTATAATTACAAACTTAAAAATTGTGAACTATATTATTATCATTGCAGTTTTTATTAATTTCTTTGCTATTTAATGGAACTTTTACAGTGAAATTTTGCTCCCTTCGTTGCTTCTTTCTTCTTTTTTTCAATAAAAGCAAATTTAATCAAAATCCACCAAATGATCTGTCTGCTGCGCAAAGAGAGATCCGATGTGCGATAATGCGCCTCAAATTGATAAGACGCTGCGTGGGGTGAATACATTAAAAAAGGAGCAGCAGCTGCGCGACTGGATGCTGGGCGACGAAAAATTCAATTGGAAAACAATTTGGCGAATTTCGGATGTGCCGGCGCATAACAAGAGCAGAGAATCTCTCTCTTTCTCGGCAGCATCTCATCCCGACGCCGCTTTTCTCTTCTCGGAAAAAGAGGCAGTAGTGAGAGAGATGGTAAATGCGTGTGTATCTCTGGATGGAGGATGTAAAAGGAATCTCATCGCAGTGTGTTGTGAGTGGCAAGACAATCAATCACCCCGGCAGCGTCTTGGCTGGTCCTTCTTGCGAGACATCAGCAGCCCCTGCTGCTCTGCAGCTTTCATCCCCGCTTGTCACCAAGTGACAGTCCGACCCTCCTCCCTTTTGAATTATTTCGCTCAGATCGATACAATTTATATCAACCGGCCTCTCTGCCTCTCTACAACTCCAAGCCCAACTCTTTGGAAAATAAACTCTCTTTGCCTATTAGCTTGCGGATCGTGATATGCAAAAATATTTGCAAAATAAAATCATTGAAAAACGTTCACAGAATTTCTAACAATATTATAATATATAGTTTTTGGAGAATTTTAAAGCACAAACCTCTTCATAAAAAGTAATTTTATTTAAATATATTCATTTCCTAAGCAATAAACTGTTTTGAAAACAATTATTCGTGTTGATTATAATATTCAGTGTAATAATATAATGGACCTATAAACAATGCTTATAATTTGGAAATTTTGAACGATTACTTTTGGTAAACTCAATAATACAAATTTCATGTGATGTAACAATTTGGGCAAATAAACAACAATAAAGAATTCATTAATTTATTGAGCATTAAAACAACTTAAAAGTAAATACTTTTAGTCTATATTTAAAAAATAAATTATTATTTTGCAGAGGAATGATTTAACAAAAATATTACTTATTCTATTTTGCAGATTAAAATTTTATCAGAATTAGTATAATATATTTTTATGTTAAGGTTAAAAATTTAGAGCTCCTCTTCAGATTTTAATTTTATATTTCTATATTTAGTTTAATACGATAATTATAATTATATTTTATGTATTTATTTTGCCTGGATTGCAGCAATGGTATTTATATTTGTGAAAAGAATAGGAATGCTAGATCTATGTAGAATTTAATTGACTAATGACAATTGAATTAATTAACATGATTGTCATTTTAAAATTTCAGTAGATAATAGATATAAAAGAAAAGATTTAAAAGATCAACCACTTGGCCTAGAAATTTTTATATTGAAGAGTTTAATTTGGATAAAAAATTTATAACTTCAATATACGGGGTATTGGATTGGGGTCTTTTTGATCTCGGAAGTTTAAACAAAATTCTTGCTATAGCTGGTGCCGTTTTGTAAAACAATACCTTTTTTAAACTAAATATTATTTTTAACAATTGAATATTATGAATGTAAACAATATGATTAAAGATTAGAATAATAAGCATGAACAAAATTATAATATCAAATAACATACTTTTGGATTTTGAAATGTTTTTCAATATTTTTTATGCTGTTTGATAGCTTTTAGTAAATTTGTGACGAACTAGAACCATGACTAATTTTTTAATATCTACACATTGAATTTTTTTAAGACGAACTGGTAATAAAATTTCCATTTTTATTAAAGCACAAAATATATAACTAAATCGATTTACAAAACTCGGTGCAAAAAATTTCAAGATAAGTTTTCCTCTCGTCCATTTTAAAACTTCTATCTCATGCTAAAAAGAGTCATAATTGCAAACCAAATAAAAGTCAAGCATGATTTGTCACAGAAGCACGCTACATCTGTAAATTCATTCCACATGGAATGAATTGATCTGACCAGAATTTGGCATCTGCCGCCGCAGCAAATCTGATCATTTACAATAATCTTTTTTTTTTCTTTTTCAAAAATCAAGTTTTCCGTGGTCCCCGAAAGGCGCGCAATTAACGATTCCCGTCTCGCTCCCGCGCCGAGGGTTGTTAAAAAACCATTTGACGCCGCCGCGCCAAAGTGTTTCCCAACAAAAGCAATAACGAGGCCGTCGCAAATTGAGGCAAACTCTGCGTGGCCCTCTCTAGCATTCTTTTTGTTATTATTTTTCGGCGCGTCCTCCTCCCTCTCGATTTTGTAACGAGTTTTTGACCGTGTGGGGTGATATTGGCGGCAGAACCCTTGGATCCTGCGAGATCATCCATCATTATTCGCGCTGCAACAAACAACCGTCGC